GAGGGAGAGAGAGTAAAAAAAATTTTCAGTACTACCAAAGGGGTATAAAATCAAAGCTGAAACTTCCCTCTTGGACCCCCCAGTCCTCTTCCGAGAAATACTCATTGTTAACAACTTCCCGTGCCTTGTTCCAGAAATTTCCCTACGTGGACAAGTGTGTGGGTAATTATATTCACGACACAATTACTTCGAAAAATAAGGCAACATATTTTTTATGTCAACTAGTATATACATGGAAATTTTGTTTCACTGAACTTTGAGATGTGACAATTTAAGCCAAAAAAACCCCCACCTCACAATACTTAAAACAAGTCCTCAAAAATTTTAATTTAAATATTTAAATATTTTTCATAGTAAAATAATGCTACTACTTGAAGAACTTCACTGGGTTAAAAATTGGCTATTCTTGATTATATAATATTTCAAATGTCCTCTGAAAAATGCCAAACGCCCATCACATACCTGCTTATTAAGTGTATTAATAGTTTCTCGAAGTAACTCTTCTTTAATTTCAGTTCTTCTGGAGATTACCTCTTCATGTTTACAAGAATATCGCCAAGTGACATCAACCACCTCGAATTACAGGACAGAAATATTTAATAAGATTACAACCATCAACATTAATTTGCTAAATACCTAGAATGCATGTAATTCTTAAATAGAATTTTTTAAATGCCGTCCTTTGTTTAACATTTTAAAACCTGTGGGAAAAAAAATCGAAGAGAATATGCTTTTTATTCATTTTCTAACCAGTACACTTCCAAGAAAGACTGTGATTAGGAGATAAAAGTTTCAGAACATTTAGCTGTTTATAACTTACCTACAAAGCTGATTTCACAAAATTCAACAAATAAACACACTCCATTTTTATTGTACTGAATATATAAATTATATATAAATATATTATAGAACTGATTTTTGACAAAGGTACAAGGCCAATTCAGTGGAAAAGGATAACTTTTTCAACAAACGGTGCTAGAACAATTCATTATCCATATGCAAAATAATGAATTTCAATTCACACCTTGGACTATCTACAAAAATTAGCCCAAAATGGATCACAGACACAAGTGTAAAACTAAAAGTATAAAACTTCTAAAAGAAAATGTAGGAGAAAATCCTTGTGGCTCAGGCTAGGCAAACATCTCTTAGACATAACATCAAAAAGCAAGATCCACAAAAGAACAAATTGATAAACTGGACTTCATCAATTTCTTCTCTTCAAAAGTCACTGAGAGAATAAAAAGACAAGCCAGATAGGGAGAAAATCCTTGCAAAGCACATACCTGAAAAAGGACTTGTATTCAGAATGTATGAAGAACTCTCAAAACTCAAGAATAAGAAAATGAACAACCCAATTAAAAAAAGAAAGGGCAAAGAAGAGAAATGGATGACAAACAATCCCATAAAAAAGATGCTCAGTGTTGGTCCTCAGGGAAATGCAAATGAAACCACAATGCGACACCACCGCACGTCTCCTAAAAAGGGCTAAAATGAAAAAGTCAGACCATACTGTTAGCAAGAATATGGAGAAACTGGGAATTCACACACATTACTGATGAGAATGCAAAACAGCATCATCGCTTTGGAAAACAGTTGAGCCAATTTTTTAAAAAGTTAATCACCTACCATACGATTCGGTCATTCCACTAGCAGGCATTTACCAAAGAGAAAAGAAAGCATATGCCCATATAAAGACTTGTGCAGCTGTATTTGAAACAGTAAAAAACTGCAAAGTACCCAAATGTCCATCAACAGGCAAATGGATAAACAAACCATGGTACATTCATACGATGGAATACTGCTCAGCAACAAAAAGAATAAATTACTGATACTTGCAAACACATGGAGGAACCTCAAAATAATTATGATGAGTAAAATAAACAACCCCCCCCCCCATAAAAAGGAGTATATATGATTCCGTTTACATACAACTCTGGAAATGCACATTGTGTACAGTCTCAGAGAGTATATCTGTGGTTGCCTGGAGAGGGGCAAGAAGGAGCGAGAACGAACACAAGGAAACTCCCGGGGTAACCGATGTGTTCACCACCCTGACTGCAAAGGTCATCTCTCGGGCATATACAAATGACAACACTTATTAAATTGTACACTTTAAACAAGTGCTGCTTATTTTATGTCAATTATACCTTCAAAGGCTGTCAAAAAAGAAAAAAAAAATTTATTCTTAGAACGCATTTTTTCTCTTCCGTCCTACCTCATCTTTAGAAAATGCGATGATGTAGGACAGCTTCTTGCCCCAGCCGATCTCATAGAGGAGGGGCTTGTCACAGACGTCTTCACACGCGTCACAGTGCAGCCACCGCTGCTGAGAAGGGGAGTACACTTCTGTCCAGACGTGGTCTACGCAAGTGACAGACGAAGACGTGACAGAAAGAGTAAAACAAAAGCTAAGTTTATAAAACCAAGACTTCCAATAACTATATACAAACGCCTAAGATGAGAACCACGTGATAATATGCAAGATTCTAAATTTTAATTAACAAGTGAGCATTTTGTGGCACACAAGACTCTAGAACACCTGCTTTAATTTCTCTTTCTCTCTCTTTTTTTTTAATAGGGGCAATTCTTGATGACTTTTTTTTTTTTACTTTTTATTTTTATTTTCTGGCCGTGCCCTGCGGCATTTGAGATCCTAGCTCCCCAACCAGGGACCGAACCCGTGCCCCCTGCAGTGGAAGCATGGAGTCTTAACCACTGGACCGCCAAGGAAGTCCCTCTCTCTCTCTTTGAAATCCTTGCAATTGTTCTGGAAAATCTCCTTTAATACAGTCAGTTTTAGGCTTAATTAAAAATAATGTGAGCTATAACTCTGAAAAGGGCAAACACATTGAAAAACAGCACGTAAACCATAGGACTAATGCACACAGTTTGCTAATGTGAAGGAGTTAATTCCACTTTGGAACTGTAGGCCAGCAGAGGTCTAACAGAGGATGTCTGGTTACTGATGGTCTCTATCTGACTGTTAAGAGAACAATAACTATTAAGTGAAGGTTTCATTTTATCCTAAGAAAATAACAGAAACACAAGTAAAAAAATCTAAGAAGAAAAACGTTTTAACATGTGACACAAGTTATAACTAAATAAGGACAATATAAATCTCACATGGCTTTTATTATATTTTATTGTATATTAAGATTACTAAATCTTTTACACTAGTCTCTACAAAAATGAAGATTTCTACAGAACATTACACACGTTCTTATCCGTAGAGAAACAGCACTACTAAAATGTCATGATAAATTGTTAATAAAAAATGTTTATAGTGTAAAGTACCAGGCAAAATGCTAGGGGTACTAAAAACAATCCTGTGATCCCCATTAAAAAAAAAACAAAAACAAAAACAAAAACCCCACGAGGCTGGGATTACTGCTATTTACAGAAGGCAAATGGAAACACAGACTGACAAGGCGGGACTGTACACCCCATCCTGAAGTCAGCAAGACCACCCTGGCCTCTGCCCACACGGCGTCCGCACCTGTGTAATCCCAGACGTAGCGGGCTTCGAAGCCCAGGGCTCTGCAGCACAGTGTGAAACAATTGGCCCACTCCCCGCACCGTCCACATCTTGTTTCCAGAAGTTTCTCGGGATTATTATACCTGGTTTAAAATAACAACAACAAAAAGCTTCAATTCATTATAGAAATCAAGCATTCTGAAGAATTTACATTACCTCCGTGCTAAACAGTAATATTTCTTAACTTCATATTCTTAAATAACAATTAAAGAGCCTAGATTATGTGAGGCATTGTGCTAGAATCCTGGGTGGAAAATGATTCAACAGTGGTACAGCCTTCAAGGAGCTTACAGTCCTGAGAGAGGGAAGGAGAGAACACAAATCATTTAAATACATGGCAGACTGTGATACCTGCCCTACAACAGGTCAGAATTAGTGTCATGGGGGAGGGGTCGGGGAGGAGGGCTTGATCCTGAACTGGGCCTTGAAGGACAGGCAGGATCTGGACAGGCAGATTCTCTAGGAAATCTGCATTAAGCATTAGTGTTACTCTAACAAGTGGTATAATTAGCTCACTGTCCTTCAAAGGTAAACAACTTTAACAAATAACTCAAGAAAGATTTTAAAGCTTAGTTGAACTCAGTTTTACTTAAAATACTATTCTTCTTTCTAACAACCATTTGGATTGAAACTTTATTCTGCTGAATTACTTAAAGGTGTTTGCTCATTTGCAAGTTGTGTTTTGAAATGTGTTTGCAACATTCTTTTAAAAAGTTACTCCAGTTATAAAATTATCATAAAGCTGAAGCACATCAAAATTTGCATATTGTGTTGAGAAGGATTTTGAGCTAATAAAGCTACTCAGGAAAAGTGAGCAGCGATGTCAGCTGTGAATGAACCGTATCTGCAATGACAAGCTGTCTGTCTTCAATCAAGCAGATGCTCTTGCTTGAGCTAAGTTAAATGAATTTATGGTTTAGGTAAGGTAGTTACTGGAAGAAGTTGCGTATTAACCTGAAGAAGTAACGGCAGCAGGATTAGAGCATCCTACGCCTCCATCTTCTAAACACACTCGTGCCAACTTGAAAGGCTGCTTGGTCTCTGATTAACAGTGTTCATCCTCCCAGCCCTACCCAGAGAACAGCTAACAGTAAGACAAGCACACGGTTAGGAGGGAAAAGGACAACGCTCGGTACAGACACCTTTGTTAGCCTCTGTCTCCCTGTGCACGCCCTATCAGTCTACACCCAACTGCTTAGACCTTATGAGGACAGGATTTAATCACAGACATCTTTTATCTTCAAATCTTTGCAAAGTACCTGTGCACACATATGCTGAATGAAAAAATAACCTGCGCTTATTTTAGATAATTATGGGACAGTGGATTCTGTTTATCTTAGACTCTGTATATCACAGGACTGATTCCTCATTAGGACGGAACTGAGTCCCTAAGCCCCCAAAATCAGGTATTTCAAAAACTTGATATCTTTTCTTGCCTGATGATACAACCAAACTTTACAAGTATTGTCAATTAAGAACATCTGCTAAGAGACTTATAAAGTAAAGGATGGAAAAAGTGAACAGAAAAGTTCCAGTTCCCTTAGTTTAAATTTAGAGATATGAGGGTAGGTTAGGTTGGTAGCAGAGGCCCCTAATTAAACTTCTGTCATTCAAGATAAAATATGATGAGGGGACTTCCCTGGCGGTCCAGTGGTTAGGACTCGGCGCTTCCACTGCAGGGGGCACGGGTTCGATCCCTGGTCGGGGAACTAAGATCCCGTGTACCACACAGAACAGCCAAAAAAAAAAAAAAAAAAAAAAAAGATGGTCCTATACCATACTTTCACCTTCCATATTTCCATCTGATGATTTTGAGTACAGCATTGTATTTACTATCACAATGATCACTATTATTCTAGTGTTTTAGCATTATTTTGTGTGTTATCAGTATTATTATTAAAGTTATCAGAAAGTTAAAACTTATGTATTAAAAGAATAAAAATACAAGATTTACAGCATTAAGTTGCTAGGACTACACTCAATTTATATTCAAGAGTCAACAAACATTTCCTATATAAAGCCAGACAGTAGATGTTTTAGACTGTGCAGACCATATGGTCTCTGTTGCCAGTATTCAACTCTTGACATTGTAATGTGAAAACAGTTTACAGACCATAAGCTATTGAAGCAGCATGGATGTGTCCCAATAAAACTTTATTTGCAAAAACAGGATGTGGGCTGGATTGAGACAGTCAGCCATAGCTTGCTGACCCCTGTCCTAGAGGAATATACTTCTAATAACTAAAATGAAGATTACAAGTTGATTTAATAAAATTCTCTTCTAACCATCCCAATAAGAGATTATTCTGACTTCAGTGTCCAGGGGATGCTCACCTTGGAAATCGATTGCTGAACTGGCAGGCGTCACAGTAATGATCTTCCACTCTGTTTGCACCCCACTTCCGCTCATCATCACTGGGGAACAATGATTCGCCTCTAGACTTAGTCTGGCCACCACATTTGCTGCACAAAATGTCATCCACCCAGTGAAAAAATTCTTCCTTAAACCAGTGTAAAAGCTCCAGCAAAAGAAAGTCCTCTTCGCTTACATTAGTACCTGAGAAGTTATAACAGAACCAAGTAAGATTTAAAGCATAAAAAACTAAAAACATCCATGTGCATTTTACCCTCAAATATGAAGCTGAAATATATGAAAACAGAAGATGATCTAAAAGGTCTTCACAAATAGGATGTGGACAGAATTGTCAGTGTATTGTGAAGCAGGCTGAAATACAAGGACGTAATCCACTGCACATTCAAAAGCAGTGGGACTTTACTGCATCCTCTGACCGACACCATGCTGAATACAACCACCTCTCAGGGAACTACTGACAGTTTGGAGTTGATCCTGAAGCACCTGGAAGGTAACAAAGTCTGACTTTGGAAAACATTTTTAAATGACTGCATTATATTTGTTATCAGGTATATTCACAAGTAAATATGAAACAATCACAGTTATTACAGGCAGAAATCACAGAATTCTGGACACCTTAAAAATCCTCCTATTAGCTTTTCTATTAGTGCTTCAACTGTACAATATAATTCACCATCATTCAATATAATTCACAAAACACATAAAAGCACAACCATGTGTTCTATCTATCTACCTATCTATCTAAAACAACACTAGCAAGTGAGCATGACATATATTATTATATCCACTTTATCAAATAAAAAGATCTCTCTCTCGACCATATTCAAGACAGTGGTATCTCTGGGAAGAAGGAGAGGGGAAAACAATCTCGGAACATATATGGGGATTCTCATTCCTATCTTTAATATTTTATTATTAAAAATAAAAAAACATATATGAAGGAGATATATGGCATAATGTTAAGATCTGATAAAGTCCGATGCTGGGCACAGGTGTTTGATCTGTTATATGCTATTCTTGTATTTATGTTTGATACGTTTCAAAATAAAAAAACTATAGAAGAAAAAAAAACTACAGAGAATATTAAAAGGCCAAAATACATTATGTTCTTGAATGGAAAAACTCAAAGTTGTTAACTCTCCGCCAATTAACCTGTACTTTAATGCAATCAACTGAAACTACAAAATAATTTTCATAAACTTTAACAAGCTAACTGCAAAATGTGAAAGAGGAAAGGCACAAAATGGTCCACACAACTTTGACTAAGAATGAGATAAATTTGTCTACAGTACATCAAAACACATTACAAAATTCTAATTAAAATATTGTGATACTGATAAAGAATAGACAGAGATGAATGAAACAAAGCAAAGAGTCCTGAAAGACAGATTTCTAAGTGATACACAGTATTTAATAAAGTTAGCCTTTAAAGTAGTTCTAAGAGGATGGATTGTTCAACAAATGGTATTGGGATGAGTAGCTATCCAAATATCAGATCCCTACTACATTCATATATATAAACACTATACACAGAGAGGGAATATTATAAAAGTAACAGTAGAAGTTTACGTTTATGACTTCGGTGTAGAAAACAAAACACAACTGTAAAAACAAAAAAAATAATTTTCTCATATTAAAATTTGTAACTTTTGAATTTCAAGATACACTGAATGAAATTAAAGAATACTGAGAGAAAAATGTAATGAGCCTATCAAAGAAAAGTATACAGAATATATTAAGAACGTCTATAAATCAGTAAGAATATTAACAGAACCCATTAGAAAAATTATTAAAGTCCATAAAAGAAGTTCAATAATTTCATTAAGTTGAAACAAACACTCCCAGACACTTCTGGTATAAATTGGAAGGCAATTTGTTTGGCAGGGATCCACTGTAGTATAAAAGTATCACACAACCCTTGATACTTTTATATCTAACCCAGTGAAACATTCCTTCATGTAGGCAGGCATGCTTTACAAGGATCTTCACTGCAGCAGCCTTCAGAACAGGGAAATATTGGCGTCCATCAGTGGGGAACTGTATAAATAACAGTGCATGCACACTACAGAGCACTAGGGGGAGGGAAAATGACTTCCAAGACATGCCCGTAAATGAAAATCACCACAGAGCTGAATATATGAGAGATGATACACTTTATTAAACCCATGCAACATTATTTATTTTTACAGATAACTATTTATGGGTGGAAATACACAGGAAAAGATATGAAAAGGAACACGTCATGTGGTAATAGCTGTTACCTGCAGAAGAGGAGGTAGAAAACTGACTGGCAGGGAGAGTTCAGCTTTTCCTGTACAACATGAAAGTTTCTCAACAAGGAGATATTCGTGAATGCTGGACTAAAAATGAACTTTAAGAAAAACAGCACTCTCATCCTGTTTTCTCCAACAAGTCCCTACAGCAGAGTGATCTTTTTAAGCATGCAAGGTAGCCTGAGTCGACTGAAACCCTCCGATGGGTTTCCATCTCGTTCAGAATACAAGCCAAAGTCGCCACTCTCGTTCTTTCAGCTGGCCCCTGTGGTAGGCCGAAAAGTAGCTCCCCAAAAGACATCCACACTCTAACCCCTGGAGCCCGTGAATCCTACCAAAGAAGGCAAAAAAAAAAAAAAAAAAAAAAAGCCTCTGCAGGTATGATGCAGTAAGGATTCTAAGACAGGGAGATTATCCTACGTACTAAACGGGGGCACTAAATGCAATCACACGTGTCCTTTCAAGAGGGAAGCAGTGGGACACTTTACAGAGGGGAAGGTGACGCAGCAGCAGAGGAGCCGGGTGTGAAGATGCTGGTCTTCTGGACTGCAGTGGTGCAGCCACAAGCCAGACTGCAGGCAGCCCCAGAAGCGGACAGGGGCAGGGAGAGCTTCTCCCCTCCAGCCCTGCCCACACCTTGACTTTGGCCCAGGGATACTGATTACGGACTTCCGGCTTCCGGAGCTGTGAGACAGCACTCTCCTGCTGTTTCGAGGAGCCATGTTTGTGGTAATTTGCTACAGCAGCACAGGAAACTAATGTACCCCCTTTGCCTCTCTCAGCTTTCTGTCTTGCTCCTTTTGCTACGCCGGGTGCCCTCCTTCCATCCCCTAAACGTGCCAAGCTCACTCCCACCCACGGAGCCTTTGCAGTTGCCAATGCCTCTACCAGAAAAGAAGTGTTCCTTCTTTCCTACTTACATTAAAACGCCATTATCCTGCCCTTATATTATACAGTTGACCGTTAATCAATGCAGGGGTTATGGGTGCTGATCTCCCCCACGCAGTGGAAAATCCATGTATAACTTCACAGTCAGCCCTCTGCAGTTCCACATCCACGGATTCAACCAACCTTGGACCATGTAGTGCTGTAGCATGTCTTTAGAGAAAGAAAGTCTGCGTGTAAGCGGGCCCGCACAGTTCAAACTGTGTTGTTCAAGGGTCAACTGTATACACAATCTTAGAAGTTGCATTCTGATGTGATGAAATTATGGATGGCTTATCTTCCCCCTATTTCCTGAATTTTCTACATAAAACAGGTATTACTTTTATAATTAGAGGGAAAAAATGCCAGGGCAAACGTCAGCAGGGACATTGCTAACTATGTCTCCTCTGCAGGGCTCAGCACACACACAACATGACAGTAAGTACCTGCTAAATAGGCATGTATGTCAGGCATCACGTACAGGACCACAGTACTTTGAAATGGACAGAGCCTCCGTGACCACATGCTGATAAGCATCCTTGTTTTATAAATAGAAAAAAACCAAAAAACCCTGTTAATTCAAGAAGAGGAAGAACTGTTTCAAGGTCTCACAACAAACCTGTAGCTTAAGTAAGTTTGGGGAAAGGGCACTTCTCTGACTCTAGGCCCCTCTGGCCTTCCTGTCTCACCTATGGGGGGTGGGTCACAGGCCCGAGCATAAGGCCCCCTAAGACCCTGAGATTTAACCCTAAGATTACAGAATGCTCCTCTCCCACACCTCACCACCACACCAACAGGACTCCGGTACAACAATAGGGGATGATTACAACTAAACCATCTGCAGGATGCAGACTCGAGCTAAGGAGGGGTCCTTAGGGAAGCCCACAGACAACAGAGGGACCCCAAGAACACCAGAGGAACCCAAAGCCCCTGACACTTACAGCAAACATTAAGCAAAATGTCGTTAACGGTGTCCAATTCCTAGTAAAATGGACATTTACACCTTTCACAAAAGGCCTGTTCACCTCAGTTCCTATTACCCAATACATCGTATCCAACATTTAACAAAAAAATTACGAGGCATGCTAAAAGGCAAGGAAAAACCTGAAGGAAAGAAAAAAGCCTGAAGAGGTAAAGCAAAGCATCAGAACCACTCATATACGGCACAAATTTTGGAATTAGGGAAGTTAAAATTACTATGATTAATATGTTTGGGGCGCTAATGAGAAAGGTAGACAACATGTGAGAACAATGTAAGCAGAAGGATGGAAACTCTAAAAAAATGCTAGAAACCAAAAATGCTCTAACAGAGATAAAGAATGCCTTTCACGGGCTCATCAGTAGACTGGACACAGCCAAGGAAACAATCACTGAGCCTGAAGACAGGTCAACAGAAACATCCCAAATGGAAACTCAAAGAGGAAAAAAGAGAATAAAAACAAACAAAGGAACAAAACACCTAGAACATCCAATTATGGTGGGAGAATTTAAAAAATGGACCAGAACATCTAACAATGGTGGGAAACGGTTGATAAATAAAGGTAGAATTGGATACCCTATTTTGGAATATCAGAAGGAAAAGAAAGAGAGAAAGGAGCAGAAGAGATATCTGAAGTAATAATGGCCAAGAATGTTCCAAAATTAATGAGGCACCAAACCACAGATCTGGGACGCTCAGAAAACACCAACCAGGATAAGTACCAAAAAACTACACATATGCACATCATATGCAAACTGAAGAAAACTAAAAACAAAGAGAAAATCCTGAGTGAAGCTGGGGATGGAGGGGGAGGTGAGGGGCACAGGTGGGAGAAACCTAAAGAAGAATAAAGATAGAAATTACGGTGGACTTCTCCTCATAAACAAGCAGGCAGCAGAGTGAACAGAAATTTAAAGTGTCATTGACTGAAAAAAAAAAACACCCCAGCAACCTAGAATTCTACATCCCAGTGATATTATCCTTCAACAGTGAAGGAGAAATAAAGACTTTATGAGGCAGAGAAAAACTGAGGGACTTCACCTCTAGTATACCTGCCCTGAAAGAAACAGTAAAAGAAGTTCTTCGGGAAGAAGAAAAGTGATGGTCATAAACTCCGGCCTGCATACAGGAAGAGCATCAGGGGAAGAATGCATGAAAGTAACATAAAATCTGTTATTTTTCTCATTCTTACTTAGTCTAAAAAGTAACAGCTTAAATAATAACAATAGCAATGTACTGAGTGATTACAGTGTCTGGGTAAGTGAAATGAATGACAGCAGAGTCTCCAGGGATGGGAAGGAAGAATTGAGACATTCTGTTGAAACGTATCTGCACTACACACGAAGCAGCATAATGCTTTTGAAGGAGGGGGAGGGATAAATTGGGAGTCTGGGATTGACATACACACACCACTATATAATGGATAAACAAGGACCTACTGTATAGCACAGGGAACTCTACTCAATACTCTACAACAAGCTGAATGGGAAAAGAATCTGAAAAAGAATAGATACATGTATCTGTATAACTAAATCAATTTGCTGTACACCTGAAACTAACACAACATTATCAATCAACTATACTTCAATATAAGATAAATTTTTTTTTAAATTGGAAAAAAAATGTTTACTGTAAACTAGGGCAACCACCAAAAAAATACTACAGAACCCCCTAGAAAGGACAGTATTAAGAAATGACTTAACAGATAAAAACCAATTACATAAAAACTCAAAGTAAAAATGCTGAAGTTGGAAAAATTTAACAACTAAAATCCGAAGACCATTAATGAAAATAACAAATAATTATTGCTTGATGAATGTGGCAGGCACTGTTCTGAGCCATTTACATGTACTATCTCAGTTATCTCTTAAAATTATCATTCCTATTTTCAAATGAAGAAACTGAGGTAAGGAGATTAAACTACTTGCTCAGTAAGAGTCAGAGCTGAATTTATACCCAGGTAGCTGGCTTCTATGTCCACACTCTTTATCAGTAACTGTCTATTAAAGGGAGTCAGTGGTCTAATCACATGAATTAATTTTGAGTAAGGTTTTTCTCCGATTCACATTAAAATCTTCTAATAATGCCATCATATATTCCATGGACTAAAGATCTACTATATCTGAAAAAAAAATCATATATCAATGATTAAACTGCAAATACACATTCCAGTGTGCATGAGGTGTATGCAATAAAAAATTATACTACTGTACTTCTTAAAAATCCAAATAGAACTGGGTTACGTATTTACAATGTAAACAGCAAAAGGCACCATTTCAGCATTCCCATTTATTTAGCAATGATGCATATTTAGCAATGAATGGTTATGTAAAGCCACTACCTTTATCCAATTTTCTAGCTCTAGATAACTTTTCTTGTGATCTCCTTTTTAGTTCTTGGACTGGAATACAAGCCAGCACTTTCTCCTGGACAGCAAGGTTCTCATAGACCAGTACATGCTGAATGTTGGACTGAAGAGCTTTTAGAATGACTGAATCACCAGTAGTAACCTAACAGAAAGAAAATAATAAAATTAGCTTTTCTCCATATGCTATAAAAATAATAACACCGGTTCTATGTTAAACATAATAAAAACACACGGGTTCTATGATTTCACAGATAAAGAATGCATGGATTCACTGAAATATAATAGTTATACCCAAAACCTTTACGAAATTAGTATTAGGAGACAGCCATATCTGTATCACAGTTTAAGACACGTCTATATTTTCATCTGAAAGTATGTTACTAAGGATATAAATATTTAGGCAGGGATATGCTGAACTCTTGACCACACACCTGGAACAAGACAGCACTCTAAGCAATGCATCTGACAGCTGTTTCCACTTCAAATCCCTGTAAACGACAATTTTTTTAGAACTTTATAGCGCATTAGCTACCGAGGACTACTCTCAAGGGATCAGGAATTTGGAGGAATTCCTGAGAGGAAAGGCAGATGCAAATGGACTAAAGGAAGAAACAATGGCAATAGGCCCTCTAGAGAGAGTGGTTACAAAAACTAAGAAAAAGTTCTCAAAATAATCCCAAGAAAAAAAAAAAAAATCCCAAGGAGAGAGGAGCCTGAGGACCCGCAGAGCAGGAAGGGGCCTTGAAGTGAGCGTGAGGAAGGCTGCTGGGCTCCACGGGAGGAACAGCTAGACATTCTGGTCACCACTGTTAACAAAAAAGTGTGTCTCTGGGCAGTGAGGGCGGACGCTTAGACTTCTAAAAGGAAAGACGAGTGCCCCCGGCTCAGAAGAGGCGCTGCTCAGGCAAAGCCCACCTGGCGGCATGTCCTGTCCCTCCCCACAGGGGCTGAAACCACATGCGGTATTCACAGATAGGCTAGCAGGGACTCTCAGACCCCTGTGAATCTACAACAACCCGTATTGTTGAGAAGATGCACTAGAATCAACAGCAGAAGAAGGAACCCTGTGGCAATGGCAGCAAATACAGAAAAAGACTAAAAAAAAAGTCTATCTTTAGAAATGCAAGAGTACACTGGAGTCAGAGAAAGATAACTATGGATCTTGGAAATTAAAAATGTAAACACTGAAATGAAGCACAGATGATGTGTCAAACAGCAGAACAAACACAGCTAAGTGATCAATTAGAAGATTGAGACATTTTCTGAGGATGCAGTACAAAAGAACAGATAGACACTGAGGATAAACCCCCGAACTTCCCAAATCCAGCTAACAGGAAGTCTAGAAAGTAGAGTAGAAACAAATGGAAGAAAAAACTTCTCAAAGAAATAATGGAAAATCTCTGAGAGCTGAAGAAAGAGCCAGTGTGAATGGGAAAACAAAAACAAAAACTATACCAGGTATGTAATAGTGATATTTCATGACAGTAAAAAGGATTAAAAACAAAATACTAAAAGCCTTCAATGATATCAGACATCTCACTGGAAACAACGGAGTAAAATCTCTGAAATACTGAGAGAAAATGAGAACATACGACGCATACCCAGGCAAACTAATTACATAGAAGGGCAAAATAAACACATTTTCTGTTATGTAACAATGCAGAAAATATATCACTCCCAAATCCTATTTTAAAAAATTATTAGAAAAGTTATCGTCCCCCCCAAATATAATATAGCCAAAATAAATAAATAGAACTCCAAGGAGTAGAACCTGGGATAAAAGAGCAGGAGCGAGTTAAATAAAAACCAAACAAACTAGTTAAACTTAAGTTCCGATTGTTATAAATAAATAATGATAATTGAAAAGCAAAATCTAAGAAAGGTGGCAGGGAAGGGAGAAGAGTAAATCCTTTCTAAGGTTCCTGTCTTGTTGTAAGATGTTGGTAGAAAAATACAAAGTAAATACCTGCATTAGAAATTTAAAGAGAATAATGAGAAGACTAAAAGGAGGATACTTAACTTCCTAATTTTTAGAGGGAAAATAATGGAAGAAAACTTGATCCATCTAAACAAAAATAGAAAAAGAAAAAAAAAACAAGAAGGACACAGACAACACAAAATAAGATGTCAAAAGTAAGTTCAAACATATTAGAATTACAGTAAATAGGAATGGATTAACCTGTCTATTAAAAGGCAGAGATAGATTAATTTAAAAAATAAAAACCATTACCAAATAGTTACTGTAATGTCAGGAATGTCAGGCACTGTATCAAGCACTGGGCATGGGTGCACAAAACAGACATCATCACTTTACAGTCTGAAGGGGAAGGCATTAAACAAGAAACGAGAGAATCTTCACATGAAGTCGACAAATGTTTGTGTGCATATGTGTTAGATGATGGAAAAATAATGTAAACCAAACCAGACAAGGACATTATCCTCACAGAGTAGGGAGTCTGTGGACGCAGAAACAAATATTGCTACAATGATGCTAATTTACTCAAATATTTAAGGAGCCTTTATTACCTGTTAGGTACGGGGGATATAAGGGTTAGACAGTTTATTCATATGTACAGTAAGAGTTATAAAGCAAACACAGAGGACAGTGTAACTGTACAACTAGAATTCCCTGGAGAAATGATATTTGCAGTAAAATATGAAGGATGAGAAGCAGCTGGTAACCAGGGAAGGGAGAAGACCATTCCTGTCACAGGGAGCAACGTGTAGGTAGCCGGGGAGTCTGCACAGGGGGATACACTTAACATGCTGTGAAGGATCAGAGAGAAAGTCAGTGTGTCTGGAGCACAGAGCACCCAGGGGAAATGATGGTGCGAGACAGCTGAGCAAGAAGTTGGGCTGGGGAAGCATCTAGATCTTCCCTGTCTCTTTCCAATGTAATGGGAAGCTATTAAAGAGACCTAAGCAAGGGAGTAAAATGATCAGATCTGTGTTCTCTGAGTCTGCCACCAGCTGTAGGGGGAGAAGGCAGGCCTCAGAAGACTCACTGGGGGACCACTGCCGAACTCTGAGGGAGCAGAGGCTTAAACCAGCGTGGGGACAGAGGCGGTAGAATAGTGAATGGATATGAAAAACATGTAGGAAGTAGAATCAACAAATCCTAGTGACTGAACCGTGGGGTCAGGGGGCAGTTAGGAAAGTAGAAAAATAGGTGGGAATGATTCACATATGAGCAACTGGGTCAATGGTTGAACCACTTATAATAGGAGAAACACCAGGAAATGGTCAACTGAGCTAAAAACTACGAACGGTCAAATAAAAATGAACTGAAAAAAGTCCATTAAATTTAGCAGCATGCAGATCACTGATGATCTTAGTAATAAGTTTTGTAACAGTGTTAATAAGGAAAACAAGTTTTAAGAGACTCAGTGGTATAAGTGGTGTCCCAAAGTGGGCCAGGTGCCCCAAAGGAGCTGTACAAAGTGGTCCACTGGGATAGGGACAGAAAATATTACAACTTCTATTTATATTATTTTTTTGTCCAAAAAGTAAAGCAATTTATTATAATATTTAATATTTGGATCAATGGTGGCTTCCTCCCAGGCTACAGAAGCCATCCTGAGGGAAGAAAGTCCCACAAAGTGGAGGGGTTCACAGTGGCACGCTCACTCCTACTTCTGCTCCCATGATGCTACAAACTTCTGCAGTTCAAATGTGCCTGGTTCAGTGGATTTACAGATTATGCTATGCGGTTTTAACTAATTTAACCCTCAACCTGGCTTAAAAAAGATTTCAAAGACCTCTAGGCACTGAGGCTAATACTTACAATGTAAGCACATGTGGAGTGTTACAAGAAGAAAATGGCAGGGCTAACCCATCTATTATTTTAGTATGAGCCCCTTCAACAGCCATATTTTAATGCTAAAAAAAAAAATCACAATCTACTGAGATGTGACAAACAAAATGATCAAGAGTATTTAAAATAAGACATGTCTACATTCTTGAAATGATATAGTGTTAATACGTTTTTTAAATTAAAAATGTTACTTATTTTCTAGCTCCTCTTTACCTTGTTTTATAATGTATCGAGTACACTGGCATACTAGTATATGTATATAATTTATAAACAAATAAATACACATTGAGAGGACATGCTCAGAAATGTTTTACTGACGGGGCACATGTTAGAATGAGGAGACCTGCAAGACAAGTACATGAGGAGTACAGATGCAGGGACGCGTACTGGGGATTCTCCCTGAAAGCTGCTGTGAAGAGGAAGTGAGAAATACAGGAATGCACGATCCAGGGATACTTGTGTGACGGCTTGTTTCTAAGAGCTACATGAGAGGTTCATAAACGTTAATCTGCTTGGGAAGAATGCAGGTTTCCAAGCTCCCCCCTCTCTTTCTGGCTCAGCCTGTCTGGGGTTTGTCCAGGAATCTGCGTGTCCAGGTTATTCTGATGCCAATGGTCCAAGCTTAGATGAAAACTGGCTTAAAGCAAGGTTTCAATGCCACTGAGAAGAACCTCCAAGAAAAGGGGCAGGTCAAGACTGCACAGTCCCCCTGCGATCCCACGGTGAACAGAAGAGAGGAACACAGGTACAGAGGACGGGCTGGCCTTTAGTGGGTGCAGACACATTTACTCTACTAACAGATGACAGAAGAGATGGGGCAGACCTGAAGGTGGGAAACCCAGGGCACCCACAGCAGGAAGGAGTGTGCTTTTTACCAGAATTGACACAGAAACAAACAAACAAGCAAACAGGGATGTCTCCATTTTTACTTGAAAGAATTCCTATAAAGAGGAGACCCTTACGGTTGTTATTTATTTATTTTTACACACAGATTTTCATTTACTGAGAGGGTAAGAACTCATCCAAAGAATTTTTATTTTCATTTTTCACTCTGGAAATTACCTCCTTCACTGTGGTTTTTAATGGCACTCAAACAATCTTGAAGAATAAAGTTTATTTTCTTTGCCTTATTTCTTTAAATACTCATTAGCACAGTGCCAAAAAAAACTAATTCATAAAAATAGAAGTTTGCTGATTGCATGGCCATTATAGCAGCTGGGTAACCATGTAGATGAGGCAACAGTTAATTGCTTAAGAGTTAAAAGTTATTTGGAATACAAATGGGAGTTTAAAACGTGAAATCTGTTTTAGAGCAAAAAAGATTTTTT